TATATATATATATACAGGGTGGCCCTAAAGTAGGTATACAGTTGAAAATTAATAATATATTTAAAATTATTAAATTAAAATTAAAGTATCAGTTGATAATTTACACTTTACATATTACGTGGATTTATCGTGGAGTCTTGTCTGTCACACTTCTGCGAACTTTTGGACACAAGTCTGTCTACCAAGTTCTATAAATGCGTCTGTGATGTATCCTTCTTATCAATATATGCAACTCAATAGGTTCTACAACTCATAACAATTCAATAGATTTAACATATGCAACTGTTTACATCATTTAAACATCAAATACTCTAAAATGTTAACTACAGTGGTTAAGGCCCAGTGAAATTTGTTCCGTGAGACCCATAAGGCCTAGCTGCACTACTGAACATTATATTTAATTAATTATGCTAATTACTAGATATATATATGATTACTTCTGATTTGATAGTATTAATAATATAGACGAGTCTCGCGCAGCACGCGCACCCCTTCCATACAGACGAGAAAGTAATTAAATACACGTGCGTGACTCTGTGAAGAACACTTATTGGACGGTTACAATACCGAGCTGGGGGTGTGGACGCAGGCGGGAATAAGCATATCTCAAGGTCTCTCCAAGAGCATAGTTGACTTCTCAGTTTTGGATTCTTGGTAAAACCACAATTTAACCCTGAAGTATACAAGTAACGTTAGTCGAAGTGGTCGTTTGTTTGTAACATCCAGACATGTAAAAATAAGCTTTTGACAGTCCAGAACCGAATATCGAAGTTCGTTAATTAGTTAGTATCGGAATATCGAACTCTTTTGAGTTTAAATTTCGATTCGAGTCGAAAACTTTTAGGAGTTTACGTTTGTGATTTATTTTGTAATTAACGTAAATATGTGATTAAATCCTTCAAATTTGGAATCTCGAAGTTATATTATTGGGAAGACTTAGATATCAGATAAAGACCGGAATCGGACATAATACGAAAACAAACAGTGCTGAGCGCGCGTTTCTTCAGCAACGGGTCTCGAACCATAAATCTAGTGCAGTAGTGATAGATACGTCTGTGTAAGTCGGTTAACTTTTTAAATACGTTCAGTGTTAATAATGAGATGAAGATGACGAGTCAAGTGTTCTTGTGATTCGTATTATTTCACACATGCTGACTTCACCGTCAATCACGAGTCTGAGTATTTTCTGAATGAATACTGCAGGAATCACTTAGCGTTCCTTAGAAGTCCTCATTACCTTAAGAAATGATATGGTGAAACATAAACCATCCAATTTAAGGGAGACTTATCAGTTACTTCAAACCTACAACAAACTGTAACCTAAATAATGAAGTTTTGTATTTATCCCATAATGCCATCCTGCTTACCGATGGAATACAGTGATGGGTAAGTATAAACACGTAAACAATAGCTTTATTTACTCAAGTATAAACATAATGCCATCCTGCTTACCGATGGAATATAGTGATGGGTAAGTATAAACACGTAAACAATAGCTTTATTTACTCAAGTATAAACACGTAAACATTAGCTTTATTTACTCAAGTATAAACACGTAAACATTAGCTTTATTTACTCAAGTATAAACACGTAAACAATAGCTTTATTTACTCAAGTATAAACACGTAAACAATAGCTTTATTTACTCAAGTATAAACACGTAAACAATAGCTTTATTTACTCGTAAAACTAGTATTGGTTTTAAACCGGTAGGTGTAATAATGTAAACCTATGTGTAATCATATTGTTATTAGTTTAAAACATAAGATAAAATACATTAATTTTACCCTACGAACAACGCTAAAATCTCGGGTTCGAGTCTTCTCGGTGGCCACAGCGTATACAGCCAAGTGTGTAGCTTTGTTCTAGTATAATTGCTTTTCACCGGGAACAAACGTAGAACCTCATACATTATTATCTGCAGGTTTTGGTCACTATTATGTTGTTTAACATTCAAGATGGCGCTTGATCTTCAGAAAATATGGCCTTTATAAACCGTTATGAATACACCACCATTGTAGCTGGATGGTCTGGGGGTGTCATCTTAGGCAGGGGTTTGAGGGGTGGGAGAAAGAGGAGAATCCCCCTTTGAGGAGAAAGTTGTTTTCTTCCTAACTTTTAGGTTATTGGTGGTGAGTGAGGGAGATCGAAACAAAAAAAAATATCTGTTATCCTCTTAATATGGAGTTGGAAATCTTTCCTCTGTATGTGTGGGGGGTGGGGGAAACCTTGATGCTTGCCTGTTGTCCGTAGTAGGCGCAACACCCTTACACTTAATGTGTGGGTGTGGGGGAACCTTGATGCTTGCCTGTTGTCCGTAGAAGGCGCAACACCCTTACACTTATTCGCTACGAAATGAACACGCTTTTATCAGCTATGTATTCGAAACGACCGGTTACCAGTGATAGGATTGATATTGTCCAACGTTTCACTTTTACTGTTTCGACAGTGATAGGATTGATATTGTCCAATGTTTCACTTTTACTGTTTCGACAGTGGTCGTTACCAGTGATAGGACTGATATTGTCCAACGTTTCACTTTTACTGTTTCGACAGTGGTCATTACCAGTGATAGGATTGATATTGTCCAACGTTTCACTTTTACTGTTTCGACAGTGGTCGTTACCAGTGATAGGATTGATATTGTCTAACGTTTCACTTTTACTGTTTCGACAGTGGTCGTTACCAGTGATAGGATTGATATTGTCCAACGTTTCACTTTTACTGTTTCGTCAGGAATTCGGTTAACTTAAACTCACTTATTGGTACTTGGTCGTTTTCAAATTAGATATGACAGAGATACTCCATTGTGTTAGGCTTACATGTTGAGTGGTTTCATATCGGAAAGTGTGCAGGTAGGCCCGTTCTACTGTCCTTCCAAAGTCCACACATACACCTGATAAAACACCACCTCATTATTTATCAGCGTAAACAGTAACAGTAGTCCTAACGGGCAGAATGGTTCTCTAGGTTTTACTCGTTTCTTAATGCAGTGCTTTTGTATTGTGTATTATCCGCTTCTTTAGTTTCTCTGGATACTCAGTGTTCCAATATACACACAGTTGTCGCTTGAAGAAATCACTGAGGTGATCCTAGCAGACATGAGTTCTCGTGGGTTGTACGACTGCATTGAAACACTGGCGGACATGTGCGTGCATATTTTTTGTCCCCTAGACCCAGATAAACTGGAAAAAACAGAGAGGTAAAAACATCCATGTTGATTTATTCTGTTGAAAACCGACCGCCCTTAGTTACAGAAATCGTAAGAGGTTTTGTGTTTTTTCGTGACTAACTTCCACCACTTTATTTCAGTATGTTCAAGTGTTATTCCTACATATTTGGTTATTTATCTGTTGTGAAAGTTGTACGTAATTAGTATGTTGTAGTATTGAATAATTTTCTGTTCTAATCATTTCGTGCAAATCACGCGATGACGTCAGATTAACCTGGTGAGACGTCGTAAAATTATAATAAAAACAACAACCAACGTTTGCTGTGTAAATCCATAAAAATGTTTAACCTATGTTACACGTTACTTAACTACATTTTTTTACTACGTCTTGATGTATTAGATTGGTAATTATAACTGATAGGCTTACAGCGTGAGAAAACGTGATAACTCGTGATGTCACCAGACAAATTATTTTGATACGGTGTTTTATACCGTGAAAGTAAAAATATAGATAAAATTTAAAACTTAAACTGAATCAAGCTATTTTCTATTATATCACCAACGTTTTTAATAAATAAAAAAACTAAATTAATAAATCAACAAATATTTTTCCAGTTTCGTTGTCTCTACATTTCATTTTATACTTTCAGCACATAGACTAACAACAATATTAGGTTATACGTTTGTTACTAAGCAACACGACATAAAATTCATTGTTAGAACATAGTGTTACCAAAACACACTAACTTTTCTATATATTAGTTGTTAATCTAACTGATTTTTACCAATAATTAGTCTATGAACGATCTTAATTTTGATTGGCTCAAAAAGGAATTTACCGACGACTGACTGCCTCAACTACACTTTTCTGCCTCTCTGTTGGTCACGCTTGATTTCGCAAAATTTATTTATTTCAGTTAGCTATGAAATGTGAGGTTAGGGTACACTATGGGGTGGGGGTGGTAGTACTAGCCCCGTCATGTGTGACGGCCTATACGCTAGTATATATACTAGCTGGAGTACTTAAAACTGGACATTATAATATTATAAACTATCTGGAGTACCCGTCACCTGGATGGACTTTATGTGTATTCATGATTAATGAAAGGTTATCTTAGGACATGACAAGTTGCTTCCCTTATATGTGATTGTAAAAAACGCCCATAAAAACTGCAAAACATAAAATGTGAAACCGCAAGTTTGCGGGTATCTTCACATGGACCCAACAAACCTTCATGATAAATTTGGTGAAGATCCATCAACAGGGGGCGAAGTAGTGGTGAAAAACACCAATAAAAACCACAAAACGCATGGATATAATGAACCTTCATACCAATTTCGGAGAAGATCCATCCACACTTGCGAAGTAGTTACATGTACATAAAACAGACATTACTATTATATCTATATACAAGTAGTTACATGGACATAAAACAGACATTACTATTATATTTATATAGAAGTAGTTACATGGACATAAAACAGACATTACTATTATATTTATATAGAAGTAGTTACATGG